GTGGCTAATCACTCTTCTTCTATAGTCCATCTTTTATACATTTAATTTTCTTCCCCATTCTGGATGGTCCGTCCTAGTCTTTTACAGTGCTCTCAAGAACCCTGCCCAGGAGGAAAGCTACACTTGTCATATAACAAGTTCATTGTCTGAAAATGGTCAAGGGACCCCACTCTTGGCTGCCTGGACAAATTGCCAGCTGGGACCAAAGACTCCCCCTTCCCCGGTGGGAAATGTGCGATGTTTTCTGACGCTGAACTTGTGGTTTTTTCCAACACCAAACACTTGTCATTCTTCCACACCAATCTCCAGTTCTCTGACACCAACTGTGTGTCCAACAATTCCATCCAATTTTGACATGAACAGGACTTAGCGCAGACCCTATGAGGTAAGGACTCGGCCCCACCAGACTGCCCCACTTCAGATGCCAGCTACAAAGAGAGGGACCAAGAATGACTCCAGAGTCTGAAGCGTGGGCAATTGGAAGAATGACATCACCATCATCTGAGGTAGAGAAAACTGCAGCTAGAACACATTTGGGGGAAACAGGAGGAGTTTGGTCTGGAGACCGTATTAGTTACCCAATTTCCACATAACAAAATACACTGATATTTGGTGACTTCGGACAACAGTCATTTATTATCTCAGAGTCTCATGGGGCAAGAATTCAGGAGTGGCTGACCTGGTGGTTCTGGCTCAGGTGTTCTTATTTTTTATTTTTTTTTTTCCCATCATCAATATTTATTGAGCATTTACAGTGTACTAGGCACAATAGAACATACAGAAAACATTGTCCCTGCTCTTGAGGAGCTTACATTCTAAAAGAAAAAAAAAATACACCTCTTTTAAAATGGTATTTTTGTTTGGTGTTTTCTGCAAGGTACTGAGGAAATAGTCTGTAGGGTGAGCTTTGGGTATAACTTAGCCCCATCATTATTTTTTTTTTTTTTAATTTTTTTTTTTAATTTTTTTTTTTTCAACGTTTATCCATTTTTGGGACAGAGAGAGACAGAGCATGAACGGGGGAGGGGCAGAGAGAGAGGAAGACACAGAATCGGAAACAGGCTCTAGGCTCCGAGCCATCAGCCCAGAGCCCGACGCGGGGCTCGAACTCACGGACCGCGAGATCGTGACCTGGCTGAAGTCGGACGCTTAACCGATTGCGCCACCCAGGCGCCCCGCCCCATCATTATTTAAAGAGAGGAAGAGGAAGGATTTTAAAGGCAGACAATGACAGACCATTCAGGAAAGATCAGGTGTTCTTATAAGGTGGACGTCAGGATGTCAACAGCCTCTCTGTCTCATACCTCACATCCACTCTGTCAGGAAATCCTATTGATTCTACCCCTCTCTCTCTATCGAAATGTAATACTGTCACCACTTGCACTGCTACCAGCTGGTGGGAGCCACCGCTAGCTCTCTCCCTTCTATCCCAGCCTGCCTAAAGTCCCTCCTCGACACAGGGGTCTAGTTATCCTTAAACACATCAGCCAGAGCACATGATCCCTTTTCTTTCTTTCCTCCCTCCCTCCTTCCCTTCTTTCTTTCTTTTTCTTTTTCTTTCTTTCTTTCTTTCTTTCTTTCTTTCTTTCTTTCTTTCTAATGTTTATCTATTCTGAGAGAGAGAGAAAAGGTACGTGTAAGTGGGGGTGGGGCAGAGAGCAAATCCCAAGCAGGCTGCATGCCACCAGCACCAGCACAGAGCCCAAAGCGGGGCTCTAATCCATGAACTGTGAGATCATGACCTGAGCTGAAATCAAGAGTCAGACACTTAACCAAATGATCCACCCAGATACCCCCAGGTGATTCCTTTTCTTGAAGACTTGCAGTTTTATCATTCAGGGTAGAAGTCTGTCTTAGTCCACTTGGACTGCTATAACAAAATTACCATTGACTAGTGGCTTCTAAGTGACAAAACATTCATTTTCTGCCATCTGGATGCTGGGAAGTTCAAGATCAAGGTGCTGGCAAATTTGGTGTCTGGTAATGGCTAGCCTGCTGGTTCATAGACAGCTTTCTCAGGCTTCTTTCATAAGGGCACTAGTCCCATTCATGAGGGTGAGGGCTCTACCCTCATGACCTGAGGACATCCCAAATGCCTCACCTCCTCATACCATCAACTTAGGGTTCATCTCAACATATGAATTTTGAGGAGACACAAACATTCACACCATAGCAAAGTCCAAATCCTTACCATGTTCTAGAAGGGTCTAAATGTACTGTGCTGTCTCCTTACTTCTCTGACTTCATTGCTACTATCCTCCCAGCCACACTGGCCTTGTGTTCCTCAAACATGACAAACATACTTCTGCCTTAAGGCTTCTTCATTGACTGTTCCCTCTTCCTGAAATGCCTTTCCCCAAGATATCTTCACACTTAATCATCTTCCCCTTCTGCAAGTCTTTGCTTAAATGTCACTTCTCAATGAAGCCAAGCCTGGCCACTCTGTATTCCTCTCTCCTTTTAGCACACTGAATCCCTCTTAAACCGCTTTACTTTTTCTTTTCCACTATACTAAATTTCCAACATACTATTTAATTTACTTATTTATAATGTCTCCTGTTTATTGTCTATATCTCCTGCTAGAAAGTAAGCTCTTTGTCTTGTTGACTGATGTATCCCAAGTGCCTAGAACAGTGACTGACACAGAGTATGCATTCAATAAATATTTGTTGAATGAATAAGTGAATGAATAAATGAATGGGCCAATCTACATATTCCTATACAAGAGCTTTCTGTATTTGTGCACTTTTAATCTAAAGCTCTCGATTTCAGTTATTTCAAACTTGTATACCTCAGGGAGAAAAACTTAAGAATGCTTCTCAGCACCTAACATTAGGGCCCACTAACTTCCTGCACTGACCTTCAGCAAGCAGGAATGCTAGAAAGTCAAGGGCAGGAGGGAAATCATGATCCTTAGATTCTCAAATTCTCAAATGCTCAAGCTAAAAGGCTAGCAGAAGAGGGGCATCTGCGTGGCACAGTTGGTTGAGTGTCTGATTCTTGATTTTGGCTCAGGTCATGATCCCAAGGGTCTTGGGATCAAGCCCCACATCAAGCTCCACACTGAGCATGGAGCCTGCTTAAGATTCTCTCTCTCTCTCTCTCTCTCTCTCTCTCTCTCTCTCTCTCTCTCTCTCTCTCTTTCTCCCCTCTCCCCTCTCCCCTCTTCTGCCCACCCCCCCAAGTTCATGTGTGTGCATGTGAGCATGCTTTTCTCTCTCTCTCAAAAAAAAGCAGGGGTGGGGGTGGGGCGGGGCTAGCAGAAGCTGACCCTGATGCAGGTGAGATAGAGTGAGCCTCTGCAGTGTGGACTGGGAGTTTCAGGAAATTAATGACAAAGTGTTATGGCAAGAAGAGATAAGAAACAGCTGTATCCATGGTTTCACACATCCCTGATCCCAAATGGCATGAAATAGAAAAATGTTGGCAATGAAACTACAAGGTGAGCCACATATTATTATTTCAATATGTAATCAATGTAAAAAGTTATTAATGATACAGTTTACTTTTTGTCATACCAAGTCTTTGAAATCCAGTATGTAGTTTACATTTACCCCAGTTCTGAACTCATACTGGCCACATTTCAAGCACTCACTAGGCACATGTGGTTAATGACTATCCTATTGAATAGTACAGATATAGAACATTTGTCAGACCAGGACAATATATGAGATGTGTTCCTGTTGTGGTCCAGAAAAATGTGGTCAACGTTGCTATAACTCACCCTTCTGAGAGTTTTGAAACAGAGAACATTCTGTACCCATGGGCATCCACATAGATTGAATACTACATCCCAGATCCAGATCTATGCCTATGGAGGAGTTGTTCTCATCTCCTGGTGTTCAGTGACAGGTGATCTAAAAGAACTGCAATAGCACAGAGAAACCTGCATGCTCTAAGCACACACATATATTGTCTAATTGTTAAAATTAGAGTAAATCTGGAAAGACCTAAACTCTTTGCTAGCAATTATATGAACCTTAGCACCCCACCCAAGACTGCAATTCAAAATATAAAATATAGCTATATGTACCAGTAACTTTATAATTTTTAACAGCAGATAAATGCAAATAACCTTAATTCCTAATAACAGGGAAATGTTGGATATTTTTCCTTAATGAGATATTAGACAAACATTTATTATTTTTTTATTTTTGAGAGAGATAGAGAAAGGGTGAGAGCTGGGGAGGGGCAGAGAGGGAGGGAGAGAATGAATCCCAAGCAGGTTCCATGCTGTCAGCACAGAGCCTGATGTGGGGTCAATCTCATAAACCTTGAGATCATGACCTGAGCTGAAACCAAGAATCAGATGCCTAACCGACTGAGCCACCCAGGTGCCCTGTATTTATTATACAGACATTTAAAATGAAATTTTAAAATATGTATAATAGTATGGGGAAAATACTTAACTTAAAATACTAAGTGGAAAATCAAGACACAAAATTATGTATGCAAATATTGGACTAAAATTATATTAAGACAAAAAACAGATACAGGAAAAAAGCAGAAAGTAAATATATCATAGTGAGATGACAATAAATTAAACCATACTTCTGCTTGTCTCTCCACATGAAATCACTAGATATTGTGAAAAATATTAAGAGAACAAAGAAAAAATTGGGAAAATTAATAAAAGGAAACCTCACTAAAGGGGAGTCAGGAGGCCAGAAGAGAAACTCTCAGCCCTACCACTCACTGACAATTGTAGACACCAACAGGAAGAGACTTACCTTGCAAGCCTATGCTACTTTACAACCCCACCAGAAGGAAGATTTTCTTTTCCCCCAGTAATGGTGCAGCCAATGAGAGACAGTCACAACTCAGCCAATGAGAAGCCATGATACTTCCAACTGCTCCCAGCTTCCCCCTTTCCTGTATAAAAGAGTGTTCCTCTCTTGTTCCTGGAATTTGCTGGTGGTTTTGTAGTAGTTTACGTGTCCCGAGTTGCAATTCTCTACTATTCCTGAATAAACCCACTGTTGCTGATAAAATAACTGGCAGTTTTATTTTTAAGGTTAACAAAATCAATAGAAGCACATATAAATATGAAGTGGTGTTCTTGATGATCTAGAATTTGTGAGGAATGAGGAGCCATCTTAAAGATGGAACCATAGTCCCAAGTCCCAGAAAAGAGGACTCTGTCAAAAGATGAGAAGGTTATGGTGCTCTGAGCCAGGAAGCAGCAGACATGGGAGGCAGCAGGAGAGGCCAGTAGTCAGGGTGACTGTGCAGATGCTGTATTGGAAGGATGTTTCTTCTCTAGTCTCTGCCCTTCTGCCAGGCAGCCAGGAGCACAGGTGTCAGTTCCAATGTAAGAATGAGAAGGGAAGGGCACTGATCCAATAAATCAGAAGTCAGGAAAGAGGGAACAATGCCTCTGTAATCAGAAACGCAAAAGAAATGTTCAGGAACCAGTTGTAATATGTTAATAATCACAATAAAGGCAAATGAATTGAATTAATAGATTGAAAAGAAGAGCCTGTCAAAGTGTATTTAAAAATAATAATTGTACGCAGTTTACAAAACACATACCTAGAACAAAATGATGCAGGACATTTGAAAAGGAATAGGGAAAGATAACTATGTAAAATGCTAACGAAAAGAAAGCAAATAGAAATGTTAAAATCAGAGAAAACAGAATTCAAGGCAAGAAGCACTAAAAAGGGACAAATAAGGATAGTTTTTTATATTAATAAAAGGTACACCCCCCCAAGGTAATATGTTATGAATCTTTTGGGACCTGGCAGTGTAACTTCAAAGTTGTTAAATCCCAATCTTAGCAGATTAATTTAACACACCTATCTCTGAAATTAATAGTTCAAATTTTAAAAAGGCTATAGATTAATGTGATCCAGAAATGGAAACACATATGTAATTAAAATTTTTCTGACAGCTACATTAAAAAACAAAAGAAGCATATGAAATTTAATGTTTCATTTAATTATATCCAAAATGTTACCATTTAAATATATAATGAATATAAAAATGATTCATTTTGCATACTGAGCGTTGGAAACTAGTCTGTATTCTATGCTTGAAGCCTGTCTCATGGGGTGCCTGGGTGGCTCAGTCAGTTGAGCGTCAGACTTCGGCTCTGGTCATGATCTTGCAGTTCATGAGTTCAAGCCCCACGTGAGGCTATGTGCTGACAGCTTGGAGCCTGCTTCATATTCATAGTGGGAGAGCCCCAAGTGGGAATAAGTGCAAAGTTAGGGGAGGAAAATGGTAATGATGGGAAGATTTTAGAAGCTATCTGAGTCCCACATCAGGAGTGTCATTTCATGTTCAAGCCACCAACACAACCGTAATTCTCTATTTCACTCAGTGCATGTTTGTAAAGACTATAACTACTTATTTCAGTTGGTAACATACTCATCTGTATTTCTGACATTTGACATTAAATGCCTTTGAGACAGTGACTGCTTTTTGTGTGTGGTGTTAGCACCACACTCAGAACATTGTTATGCACTTCTAGGTGCTTAACAGATTAACAGAACAAACTACAATTCAGTGAAAGGGGCCCTCTTGTTCTCTGCAGAAACACCAATCAATGTACCTTCATATGCAATGAAATTTTCCAACACCTTCTCCTTGAATATCTAGTTTTTCTAAGTTTGCGGTTGGTCCTAGTGTTCTGTGATGGTTTGTTTAATTTTATAACCAAGTATTAAGTAGATATTACAGTAACATACTTACAGGGTACAAAATATTTTACCATGAAACCCATGTTTGTTTTTGGTTTTGCTGTTTTTACCATTAATATTATACCCTGAGCAGTCTTCACAGCATTCGACAGTCTTAAAAAGTATGGTTTTTAGAAGATGTATATGCCACCTCATAAATGATCTGCAATTAGCAATTTCCCTATTGTTGAATTATTTACATTTTTTTCAGTTTTTCCTTATTACATATATGCTGTGCTCATCTTTGTTGATAAAGCTTTGCTTCTCCACCTAATTAAATCTTTAGGCTAAAGACAGATAAGTAGCACTTCTAGGAGACAGGTATGAATAGTTTAAAGTCTTGAAGCAGCTGTCCAACTACTTTTCAGAAAGCCTGTACCATTTTATCCTTTAAAAAAATTTTTTTTAATGTATATTTTTGAGACAGAGACAGAGCATGATCAGGGGAGGGGCAGAGATAGAGAGGGAGACACAGAATCTGAAACAGGCTCCAGGCTCTGAGATGTCAGCACAGAGCCCTACGCAGGGCTCGAACCCAGGAACTGTGAGATAATGACCTGAGCCGAAGTCAGACGCTTAACCGACTGAGCCACCAAGGCGCCCCATGTACCATTTTATCCTTAACAGCAGTGAAAACAGGAAACAGGACCCATTTCCTTTACTATTTGTAACACTGGCTATTCAAATTTTGCTTATTTTGGTATTGATGTGCACAGAAATTCAGAGTATGCAAGCCCAGTATGGTCATGTCTGGGTTACATGGCCTTGCAAAAGTCACTAGGCTGCCATTGTATTGGGGGCATAAACGTTCATAACTGTTGCAGCTTCTTCAGGAACTGTAAAATTTTATCTGTTGAAAACATCCTTCCTTAAACACATTGTCTTCTAGCATCCATTATTGCTGACAAATCTGATACCAATCTAATTCTTATTTTTTGTAAACTACTTACTCTTCTTTCTGTGGATAAATTAACAAAAAGCTAAATACATTGTAACATATCCACTCAAGAGATTATTATGCAGGATTTCAAAATAATGAAGCATGCATATATTATTTCTTTATATATGTCCTTTTATATAAGGATGTTCCTTATATATTATCAAGTGAGAAAAGCAAATTGCAGAGAAATGGGTACCATTTTTACAAAAACAAATATCTGATAGAGAAAGACAAATACCATTATGACTTCACTTACATGTGGAATTGAAAGAACAAAAACAAAACAAAACAAAAAAACAGAAACAGAGTTATAAATACAGAGACAAACAGGTGGTTGCCAGATGTGAGGGTGTGGGGAGGTGTGTGAAATAGATAAAGGTGATTAAAGGATATGAATTTCCGGTTATAGAATAAATAAATCACGAGGATGTGAAGTACATCATGAGGAAGATAGTCAGTAATATAATAAGTTTGTATGGTGCAGATGGTATGTACCTTATTATGGGAATCATTTTGTAATGTATATAAATGTTGAATCATGGAGCACCTGGGCGGCTCAGTCAGTTAAGTGCCTGACTCCTAATTTTGGCTCAGGTCATGGTCTCATGGTTATGAGATCAAGCCCTGTGTTGGGCTCCACCCTGGGCTAGAGCCTGTTTGAGATTCTCTCTCTACCTCTGACTCTGCCCCTCTCATGCTCGCACGTACTCTCTTTCTTTCTCTCTCTCTCTCTCTCTCTCTCAAAAAAAAGTTGAATCACTATGTTGTACACTGAAACTAATATAATATTGTATATAGACCATACCTCAATAAAAAAGATAATATGAGACACCAAATAAATCCTTACGACTAAAAAAAAAAAATCAGCAACAAAACTCTATGTTTTTGTAATCATACTTTGCATATATTTTTGAACATAGAGAAAGTTGCAAAAGGTAGACACCAGGCTTTTAGTTTCAGATTCCTTTTTATTTAGGAAAGAGGGTGAAGATTATGCCATACATTAATAGTGTTATTGCATAATCAAAAAGAATGATACCTTGAGGGTATTATGCTAAGCAAAATAAGTCAGTCAGAGAAAGATAAATATCATTTCAGTCATCTCTGAAATTTAAGAAACAAAACAGATGAACATAGGGGAATGGAAGGAAAAATAAGATAAAGGGCAATATAAAAAAAGAAAAGCAGGCTGAGGAGGAGGATGCTTTTATCAGGAAGGAGAAGAAGTAAAATATATATCTCAAAAAAACTGGTATCGCATATTTACTTAAATTTGAATTTTCTTTACTGCTAGAAATTAATATCTTTTCATGTTTATTGATCATTTTGATTATATGCTTCTGTGAATTTTTTATTTCATATTTTCCCCACTATTCTATTGAACTGTTTGGGGTCTGGGCGGAATCGATTTATAGGAGCTCGTTATATAATCAATTGTATGTGTTGCACATATTTGCTCCAGGGCTATCATTTGTCTTTGTTTATGGTGTCTTTTGCTATGCAAAAATGTTGAACTGTTATGTAGCCAAATATATTTATCTTTTGCATTTATCTTTCTCACTCATGAGCTCTGGGTTTCATGCCATATTTAAGAATATCTCATCCAGAGGTGCCTGGTTGGCTCAGTCAATGAAGCATGTGACTCTTGATCTTGGGGTTATGAGTTCGAGCCCCAAGTTGGGTGTAGATATTACTTAAAGATAAAATCTTTTTTAAAAAAATCTCATCCAATTTAAGGTTATCCCTAAATATTACTCTAGATTTTAATTTTGTTTATGTTTTTATCTTTAAATTTTATGGGTTTTGTCATATAGATATATAGATATAGATATAGATAATTTCATACATATATTCACAACATATGTGACTGGACTGGCTGGATGCCAGATGCCAAAAATTGTTAACTTTTTACTATTTTTTAAAAATTATTGAACATTTAATATGCACCAAGTGACATACCAAGACCTGAGAATAAATAACTCAGATAAATAACACAAGGTCTCTTCTCTCTACATCTAATGGACAAGACTGATAAGTAACTACATATTTCAACACAGTGTGATGTGTGCATGATGGAGATAAATGTAAGACATAGATAGGAAAGGTCACCAATTCAAACTGGGGTGGTCTGGGACACTAATCCTTGACTGAATCAGGAAGGTAGTTAAATAAGTTAGCAAGATGGAAGGATGTATTTTCAAAGCACTGGGGGCATACATGCAAATGCATCGAGCAGAAAAAAGCAGGGAACATTTGGGGAAATCCAAATACTTGGTAAGACTAAAGCACCAAAAGAAAGTTGAACTGGTGAAAGATTAAGGTAGAAAAGTATGGCAAGCAGTGAAATTTGTAGCAGAAAATTAATATACACCCATTTGCATTTAGAAGAAATCTTTCACCCCACCTGGAGAAAGGGTTAAAGAGAAATGAGCCTGGAGGTGAGGAGAACATTAGAAAGAAGCAGTAGAAGCCCAAGTGAGAAATTATGAGGGCCTAAATCAGGGCCATTACCATCATAACTCCATTCACCGTGAGGTTACCTTGACGCTCCTGGAGTCATGCGATGCAGAGCCTACATAGTCCTGGACCAAACTAAGGCAAAAACAGTAAGAGATTCAGCTACAGATTTGAGAAATATTTGACAGAATTGGATGAAAGGCTAAAGAAGAGGTAGAGCCAGCAACAACACTCAGATTTCTAACAAAGACAAATACTTAAATGTGGTACCAGTCACTGTGACTGGAACGCAAGAAG